TCCGGTATCTCCATCAGGAAGCTAACACTAGACAGATACTAGGAAACACCACCGTCTTGGTATCAAACTAGTTGCATGGTAATAAATCTCCCTCTGATCCAAACGTGGCAGCTGAATGTGGTGATGACGACCTGAGGGAGACTTTGGCTGTTCTAATCGCGGGACTGCGGGGACCCACAAGCGCTAAACTAGCAAAACTGCGAACTAGTGGGAATTTTGCTGGGGTTCCGCAAAACCAATGTACACGGAGCGTCCAAGGATCCAAGTAAATAGTAGGTATAACCATAATGATGATAATGACTTGCAAAACTCCGGACCGTAGGTGTCTGCGCTGGAGATTGAACACGCTATTGCCGTTACCGGGGCTTACGTTCTCACCACCACACCATGCGGGTCTTTCGTTTCGCCTTTGTTTCAACCGCTGTCAGCTAAACCATTGAGAGGAATAATAGTCATATTTGCGAAAGACAGGCGAAACGGAGGATCGGCATGGTGTGGTGGTGCAGGCGTTAGCCCCCAGAAAGGGTAATAGTGTGTTCGATCTCTACCGTAGACACCAGAAGTCCGGAGTTTTACAAATATCTCAGTATCATTCTGGTTATATTTCACATATTATCCTGTCCTAAAAAAGTAGGTGTGAATAAGAAGTGACGACATTAGAGCTTCATTGTATTAATCATCTACTGTTTTCGATTATTGTCTTCGACACTAGCCAAATTCGGAACTTGAGCAACTTAAGGAGTGGGAGCAGTGCTAACAAGGGTACTCATAAGCAAAACTTCACCTCAACTTCCACATAGGTTTCCTTCGAGAGAATTGTGAAAGACTAGCCCTATTTAATTTGCTTGCAATTTTTCTTGTGAGAATCCGAGGTTCGTTATTCTTGGAAGAGTGGAAGTAAAGATCTGAGTTGATCTTCACTCACCCATGGGTGAAAGTATTTGAACCTTTCAGTTTTAAACAGTAATACCTCAGATGTTGGTGAACTTGATAAAATGAGATAAAAATGGCTTGAAGCTACCAATTTTTACAAAAACCACAAAATCACAAGGTTTAATAATCTACCGCAGTGTAAGTCGAACTTTTTCTTGCTTATAAGACCTCTTCACTATCATCTCCGCTTTTTTTCCTTGTATTTGGAATAATGAGGCGACTGAAGGAGAAACAAAAAGTGTTTTACGTCAGACAATGGAGTTTCATCAATTTTTTTATTTTTCCTTCTTTGGAATCTTAGAAAGTTTAGATTTTAGACAAGGCTAAGGTTTGTTTAACTTTTGAAAAAAAGTACATGTACACCTTGGGCATCAGGTTTATCTCGTGTTATTAGTTAATTTGGAAAACCAAGCTTTCATCGGGTGCAAAAAGTTTTTTCATTTTGTTTGTGTGGATGAAAAATGATTTGGAGATACTGACACGACGTGCTTTGTATCTAAGTTCACGTGAGGGACTCCCTATAGACAGGTATTACAGGAACGTAGGTTGTCGGAATAAATTAAAAGGCCCAGCTTTCCATAAACCTCAGCATGAATAGTTAATATATTTATTTATATGTTCTTGTGAACTGATCTTGTTGAGATGAAGCGAGATTGGTATAAGTTATCGTTGTTGTTGTTGTTGTTGGTCGATGGCTGACGTTTTGGCAATGTCACGTTCCTCTTAGTTTGGAAAGGTTAACTTGACTGCAGTTTACCCTAAGCAAGCGACTTGACCTTTCCAGGCTCTGAAGAAGGCGAAATACGCGGAAATGTCAGTTCGTTCGTAAATAAGGAAATAAAATAACACCCAATTTTTGCTCAAAAAGAAGTTAAAGAATTGTTCGATCAATGCCGAGATTAACAGAAAATCGGTCGTGGGAAACTCTTTCGATAGCACTCCAGCGTATTATTATTCGAAAACATTGTTCATGATTTTTTCACATATTTCCATATGTTTTTGGAAGAAGGTGTCGAACTTTATCTACATTTCAATGTTTGGAATCTACCCATGGCAATCTCGGAAGCTGTCGCAAAAAAACTGCGTTATTTCAGGACGTCTCCATGGGATTCTAAGGAGAATCTGCCTTTGGATTATGCTCGCATCTTCCAGTTCCAAAACTATAGGAGAACCAGGAAAATAGTTTTAAATGAAATCGGCGAGTATGACTACACATCATGCGTTCATCCAGGACAATATGTGACGTTGCAAATCGACCGCGTTCCGATATCACTCGCACGTATGTGACACATTGTTACACCGTATTATAACGACTGGATATTGAGATCGAATGGATAGGGATTGAAATCATACGTTTGGTGCTTTGTATCCTGAGACTCGGTGTATTATCTTATCTTTTTCATCTAATGAATGATTAACGGACCATTTAAGTGGCGTCAATTAAGGTAAAAGTAGTAATTAGTGCTGGGTAGAATGGCTTTAACATTGTATTCTATCCACATTGCCCAACAAACATTGTTAGACCAGTGGGGTTGCTCGTGTGGAGCAGTGGTCGGGGGCGCCCTGTAGTACACATGTGATCGATCACCGCTCCCGTGACTCACCAAGCCTTCCATCTTTCCGGAGTCGGCAGATTGGTACGAAACTTGTTTAGGCGGATAGCAGCACTGGTTCCATGCATCGGCAGGTCACCACGAGTAAAAGGGCCAGATATGCATTCAATCAACGATGCTGACGATTCGACGATGCTTAATGAAGTCGAATGCATGGCGCATCCCTCAGGGATTGACCAATGCCAAGAGCTTTATCTTTTTTTATTTCAGAGCAATGGGACGAATCTGCTCCGATGGTATTACATCAACTACTGCCTCATGAACAACGTATGTCAGTTGTAAACCTCCTTATTCGAAGACATCACTCATGCACAGTTCCTATCATGAATAAGCAGGTTCGTGATCCTAATTGAAGAACTGTTAGGATTTGAAGTTACCCGTGTAGTTGTTTTTATTACCTCATTTTCTTGGTGAACTCCATGTTACTTTTTTTTAACCTGAAGTATTTTAGAAACTGATCTTCAACGTTGGTTTCCGTAAATTTGAAGCATGTCCAATTTTTAGTCAACATACTAACGGAGACAAGTTTAAGGTGGTGCTACCTAACTTTTTAAAATTTTTGCACTAAGTTCTGAGTTTTTTATTGCCTATTCCCTTTTTCGTGCTAGAGTGCTATATGACGTGCCGCCCCATGAATGTTAGATATGAGCAAAACTCGGAACCTCAGATAGGCATCGAATCCGTGGTCACCATTTCCCCGGGGTCTCACGTGCTATCCACTACATAAGCCGAGGTCCGTGCTTTGCCTTTCTCTCAACCAGTTTTTTTTTTTATTATATTGGTTCTATCACCAGTCACGTGTCAACGGGGCTGAGTAAAGCACCGATATACTAAAAACGTGGCTGAGAGTAACCATGGGCTTCAGGTGTTATAGATAGTACGTGAGCCTCCGGTAAGGGCTATAGCAGGTTTGCAGATGTCAACATCTGTGTGGCTATATCCTAAGGTTTTTTTTCTATTCGTTTTTCTCTAAGATGGAACGTTTCTTGCCGATGAATGCGTGTTGTGTCGCTACCGTATTTGCTCCAATCACTTTTCCTCCGGCTTCGGTGTTGGTTTTCCGGGAAGGAAAAACTGGAGAACAGGCGAGCGTATTCTTAGCTTTTGCCACTAAAACTTGCAGTAGATTTTGTGCTAAACCTATTAAATATGCAGGAACTGGTTGCTACAGGATCTGTACTTGACGTTAATCCAGACAGAATAGTTTTGAAGCGGATAGTGTTATCAGGTCATCCTTACAAAATCAATAAGCGCGCCGTTGTTTGCCGCTACATGTTCTTCCACAGAGGTAATATTTCCTAGGTTTTAATCTTTAAATGGCTTATTTTCGTAGTATTCTCCTGTTTGCTCTAATAATTTCAGGGCTTTTTGTGTATCAGCTCTATTTAGATGGCTTTAAGCATGGCTGTTCATATTTAGTACAATGAGTTAATTTGATTAAAACGATGTTTTTAATACTATGTTCGTTTTAGAGGATATTGAGTGGTTCAAACCTGTAGAGTTATATACTCCTAGTGGACATCGTGGGCACATAAAAGAAGCGTTAGGTAAATGAAAAGACAGTTTCCTAACTTCAAACATTGTCGGGGAATTCTTGTTTTCCTTTATGTTTTAGGTACTCATGGTCATATGAAGTGCCGATTTGATAAACAACTGAATGCTGCTGACTCAGTTATGATGTCTCTCTATAAGAGAGTTTTTCCAAAATGGACGTATAATCCCAGGGTCCGTTATCCGTTTTGATCAAGTATATGGACTTACTGCACCATGTAGAAAAGGAGCTTTAGGTAGCGCGTTCTGGAGGCGCTAAATTTATCACACAACAGATAGAAGATATGGACGAACAAAATAGTTGAGAATTAAAAATGTACGAGTATTCTCGCTGTGTCGCGGTTTCAGTGTTGTTTTCAGAATTTGTTAATTTCTTTGTTACACTTGTTGTTCACGTAGATTTTGTCATGTTTTATCTTGATGGTCTTGAAACACTTTGGTGTGTCGTTTTTCTACTCCGAAATGAAACTTCTACTTTTTATTCCGTCGTTGGTTATGCTGGTTTATCCATTTTATGGTGAATGCGATGTTTCAAGCATCAGTTCAAGTTTTCCAGGTTTTCCGCCGTTCATTTCATTAGAGAGAAGCTCCTACAGATGGAGCAAACGAAGAGCAGTATGATATTGCTTTAAACTCTGTGAAGATTTAATGGTATCATTCTAATTGATATCCTTCAGGTCGTGCGGCGGAGCTCGAGTTGGCTCAATTTCGCGATCTTCTTGAGTCGTTTCCAGACATTTCTGAGCAGCAAGAAAAATTTATTGGAGAGGTGATTTACTAGTTTCCTTTTACTTTTTTTTCTACTAAATACCGAACAGTAATCCGAATTTTTATGCGCAAGTTCTTCAAAATAGTAAAACGCAAAATCAGGTGTTTGGAGAAAAGATATGATCATGGATTCACGTACGCATTCTTTTACTATCTATGCTGCCAACGAAATTATGGTTTCAACGTGTGCGCAGTACGTGGTACTGAGGTTTGAAACCATGGTAAGAGGCCACATTGGGAGATTCTTGGTCGGTCTTTCCACGAGAAAGTCATCATAGTGTCGATCGAAAATCTACATTCCTCTGAAAGGCGCAGCTTGGATGGATACTCGTAGGCACGGAGCCTGAAATAATGAGGTTGTGGAGGTAAGGTAATTCCTATTCTCCCGAGTTATACTACGTAAACGAGAATTTGTCATTTTCACCATCGTAGCTGTTTCTATAGTTTGTCTCAAAATTTCTTATGCTTCTTTTATCTCCATAGTTACACCTGTGTTCTCTACTAGTTACGCTGGGCTATATTCTAGCATTAACTAGTGTAACGTATGACTTTACGTATATACATGTATTTTATTATTGTTGCTTACGACGGGGGATTCACCGTCCCAGCAAGGTTTCCCAAGCTGAGAAGGAGTCCGGTATTTCCATTGGGAAGCTCAGCTAAGTGTAAACAAGGAGCAGGATCCACCACCATCCTGGTATCAAACTAGTCGCATGGTGGCAAATTTCTTTCTAATCCAATAAATTCTGTGGTAGTGACGACCTAGGCCAGACTCTGGTTGGGCTAACTTTGGGACTTCAGAGAACCACAATGGTTGAACCAGTAAAACTCCGAAAAATTGGAAATTATGCTGGGCCTCGTACAACCAGTGGAGATGGGCCATCCAAGTATCTAAGTAAGTATACATGCAGTATCCTAATGTAAAACACTTGTTGGTCATCAACGATTGGGGTCATACGAAGTTCTTACTTGTTGTGTTTGTGTTTATAGCCTAACTGGAAAGTATGTACTGGCGAATTCAAAAACAAAAATCCAAGCTCCAAGCACATTTTTTTGTCTCGACATTTCTCACATCAATCCGCCTTTCCTTTCTTTATGTTAAGATTTCGCGGATTACGTAGTTACGATTTTACATTGGGACAATGTGGAAGTGTCCACAATACCTTTGCGCCTCCACAATTTGAGGGTTGGGACGTTTCTCACAGTATGGCATACAGTCTGTGACGATCACGAACGCGATCACTCCGACGGACCTGTAATTTTTTTTCAAATGGCCTCCCGCCACGAAGGACTGATATTTTGATGAGTGTTTAGACCTTCGTCAACTATTCACATACCTTTATTTATGGGGCGTACTCCTCTCACTATCCATACCTGTGATCGTGCATAATAATAAACCCACTATTCAATACATCGAAATGCATGGACTTTTACTGTTCAACTTAATGCGTTATCATCACGTATTTATGAAAAATGTTGGCGTACAATAGTAGAATTGACCATCTTATAAAAAATGCGCTTGATTCTGCTCCAATCGACCTTTCACCCTTCCACGACCGCGTTTCACTGGAGCGCGATTGAAATGCGCATTGAAATGAAGGTGTACAGTCTGTACGTCCCCAGAGGAGTCATGATGCGCTGGTTTCTTGAGGTCATCGTTCTATTGTTCAATTCTATCACACTTTTTCCATTTCTTTGTGGCTTCTACATATCTGCCATGTTCTTCTGTGTGTGTTTCTATGTTCTTGGATACATCTTCCGTGATCTAACGCTTTTATGTGATAAAGAAAATGAGTTCATTATCTTACCATAATGTCATTAACCTTTTGGCTTGGTTTTATGGTTTTATGTGATAGTTGGAGTGTATTTCTGTGCCTCTTTCATGTTCTTTTTATATCCACCAATTCCACCGCACCGTCCAAAACGGCTTTTTGCAATAACAGCTGAGAACACTTGTTCCATCGATTAGCTCCAGTGTAAAATCTGTGTTCGATAAGCCTTCCATCAACTACAAATGGTCGTTCGTGAAGTTGTTATGTGATCGAAAACTGATGTATCTACATGAAAATATTGAAAGAGAAGCAGTTCTGGCCAACCCTGCGCACTAAAAAGTTGTTACGATACGAAAGATTCAACCCTTACACTACTGTGGCCATTTTCGCTTGCTTAGCCCATTGGACGGCGTCTCATTGGAGCACACTTGAGGTGCGCATTGAAATCAGTATGTACGGTCGTGAAAGGGTTAGTGTCTCTAAAGATAAGGTTTATCCTCAATTAGACCGTTATACTTGAAGTTATTTCAATTTTCTCAAATTATCAAGGCTTCATTTCTTGACAAATTATACCTAGTAATGCGAATTATCTTTCTGTGTAACGTTCTAATACTCACCAAACGTCAGACTTGTATGGATCATACGGTTCTCCTTTCAGAATTTCTGGAGCTGAATAAGACTTCGACCCGCAGTAAGTTTCCGAGAGCGAATCACCTCTAATCACCTAGATTTTTAGATAACAGCTTCTATGGTTACAGTATCGTATGAGAGAGAAAAGAAACTTACGCTGCGCGCAAAACCAAAGTCAGTGATTTTGATTATGCCTTCATCGGGAAAGATTATTATATTCTCCAATTTGAGGTCGCGATGCACAATTTCTCGCTGCATTGTGGTTTTAAATTTTAGCAGATATAAACAGATCAGAAAACTCACAGCATGCATGTAATGTACTGCCGAAATGACTTGGGACATCCAAATCATTGCTTGATGTTCCTTCACTGGTCCATTTTTCTGTACGTGTTGTAGCTAGAAAAGGCAGTTACAGTCAACGTATGGCTGGTCAATAAGAGCTGTATCGAAAATCAAGTTTTTCGGAATTTGATTATGAATGTATTGTTGCTCTGTTGCTCCACACCTGTTATTAGAGGTTCTTCATGGTTATTAACCGTGAAAATGACCAGATATTCCGACGTGCTATACAATAGTACCTTGTTGGTATTTTTTAGTACAGCATTTTTTATTAATATAACTCGGAGATAAAAAAGGTGCGAGTAGCGCAGTGGTCGAAGCGACTCTGCATTACACATGGGATTGATCCCATCGCCTCAGGCTCACCAAGCTTTTCATCCTTTCGGAGTCGGCAAATTGATGCCAGAGTTTTCTGGAAAAGTAGTAGCACTGGCTCGGTGCATCGGTAGGCTACCGCGAGTTAAGTCATTATAAAGGCCAGATACGCATTCAGTCACCTCCAACGATACTTTGCGAAGTCGAATGGATGGCGCATCTCTCAGGGATTGATCAAGGCCTAGAGCTGTATCTTTCATCCTTTTAACTCGGAAAACAAAGTCATTGGTATTTCAGAGTACTTAAGCAGCCATTTGGGAGTATGAAAAGTTAAAAAGTTTCGCGTGTGTTCATTCTATATCATCCGCACTGGAAGTCAATATTGATCACATTATTAATTTTTGAAAAGCCGGTTTACCATGTCTCCTCCTCGTGCAAATTCCATGGTAAGGAATACGTAGTCCATAGCCTCGTAATGGCCGAGAATTTTGACAAGATGAGGGTGGTTGAGACGCTTCCAGCAGTCGATTTCTCTCGGAAGGAATTTGTTGCGGAATTCTTCTGTCACTTTTAGAGTGTTTATCATCTTGATGGCAACCTGTGTTTTATTTGTATTGATTAAATTAAGCGCTTTTGGCTTGTCCGTGAGAATGCTAGGCAAGTTCTTTGAGTGAGTGTCTAGTCTTTGGATATTTCTCAATTCTCTTCAAATTAATGCAGTGAAATTATTAATCCTAGTTGATTTGAAATTGTGCTAGTCGGAAATCCATGTCTTATTCTCCTTTGTGTTTCTTATCTCACAATAGTCCAACACATGACAAAAAATGATAGGACTTTACTTCTCGAAGATACGTATCCATGTTTACTTACAGGATGTCCGTTTGAGATGTAATTTGCCATAATAACTCTGCTATATCGACCACAACCCAGCTTTCGAGAATGGCGAAGATCGATGTTTTTCTCTACGAATAAGTCGCAAATAATTTCTTCTGTGGTTTTCTCGACCCAGTGGCTTGCCTTCTGCAATGTTTTTCTTTTTTTTTTTTTTTTTGAAACTGCTCAGCATCATGGAGTTAAATGATAGCAACACTTTTGAACTTCTTAATCGCGCAATTCGCGTCACCGATTAGAACACTAAACTTAAAACATTTTTTGCTGATTGCATTCTCATCGACAACTATTTTTTACCAGTGGTTAATGCTTAAATCGCTCCTTCCTTAACCCATTTACAGCTTAATCAAATAATTGTTCGCAACCTTTCAGTTCTGGACCAACTAACCCTCCCCTCCCCATCTCTAAGAGTTCGGAAATTGGTATCAGACTTCTCTGAAAAAATTTCCAATCCAGACGGACTAACGGCCACCTATAATGAAGCAACTTTAAAATGCTGCACTAAAATTTCTGCTAGGCTAGGTCACGTGCAGAAATGTAGCAAAACAAGGAGGTCGTTTAGGCAAAACCTTTGATTTGCCATTATATGTGGTCAACGTGTATGGGAAGCGCTGTTTATGCCGTGCAAAAATACACGCATGATCATTGGTTCGATCCCGTATTGGGCTAATCATGCTTCTCATGCCTGCGCGGTCGGAAATTTGTATAATATTTTGTGGGAAAAAGGAGAAAAAGCTCGGACCAATTTACGGAGGTCGCCAACTGCCCTGTGGCGAAGATTTTGGAGCGTTCTATTATAGTTATCCTCAGGTTTCCACTAAGTGGAACCCATTAACACGTTATTCACCTTCACTCCGTAGTCAATTGTTTGATGCTCTTCCTAACTCTGTGTTTTGTACCAGAAACGCAGGTTAACGCTTCAGCCGCAACTCAAACTTGCGAACTGTATGAAGGATGCTTGAGTGATCGTCTCAGTAACAAAATTTTCATACTTTAGATCTAAAAGGAATGTCGTTTCTATGAAATTCAGCCGAAGACGTCTCAACAATGGGGCGCTCATGTATTAAGAAGGCAATACAACACATGGACGAGAAGAATGTTGGAGTGGATATCTCGAAAACCAAAACAATTTCGAAGGAGATCACCAAGAATATAGGCCGATGTGTTCTATACGAGCACAAACAACCTATATTCACAGCCGAAATCCGTTTTCAGATCCTTAAGCTGCAAGCGAACGCGTATTCAAATATCTCAAACCTCCGTTACGAGACCAAACGACAGCGTTACGACAGATGATGTAAAGCATCTAGCCATGGTGCTAAATGTAGAGTCTCTAGGTATTCAAATAAAAGGTTAAGTGAAAACCAAGGGCTAGTATTTCACAAGGCATATAATATCAGAAGATGTGCTTCCTTTCCCTTCTATCATCCCTTCGCTAAAAGCAGTTGGTGTGTGTCATCTTCGTAACTTTCGCAAAAGGGAAACAGAGATTTGAACACTACTTGAATGCTGATCAAATGGTTTATGGGCAATAATAATATGTCATGTTGATGTCACGTTTACTTTCTTCCCTTTATTTGTATTCATTTCACATGAGTCGACATCGCATGTTGTATACATTCCAGTAGTTCTTGTATTCGATACGCTTCCTCGCGTCCATATTCCACGATGGTATTCGCATTTCACGTGTGATTTTAGTTGCTGCTCAAGAATTTCTGGTTTTCTTTATGGATGTCGCTTAGTACTCGCCGAGGCGATCCTTTCCGGAATCTCATGACGTCCGTAGTAGGGCGTTCTCAGATCTTCATCGCGGAAAATCGTAAGCTTTTTTGGATTAGAGGAAGCTAACTGATTCCAGGCACGAATGGTAGCAGTTTCCCAACCCCAGAGTGGAAGTACATGGTTGGCTCTTGCGAAGCAGAAACTGGCCTGATTGAACTGAATGGCATCACTACCATTACGCAACAATACCCATACCTCCTTAGTTTACTGTTGTAATACATTCTAACTCGCTCCTAACTTGTCTTTTCTTTCCATTTCACTCTTATACCGACTACCTACATTTCTACTGCTGAGGAAGAGAAACAGTAGTAGTCGGTAGCTAATCCAGAAAATATTAATGGTAGACGACATACTCCTTCCATTTCTGTAATTCTCAGGAACGTCTTTTCGTCGCGCACTATCTAAACCGTCTAACCTGTTTGTTGAGGGCTGAATTCGATGCTTGAGTAGATGTTGAGTGCTGATCACCCCTGTTTGTCCTGTTGTAACGATTACGTCGGCGCTCATCCGTGTTTTTCTTGTGTGTATGAGAGGGTGAATTGCTCTCTCTGGGACGTAATGTTATCTGCTTTTGTCCTACTGGCATTCTTTGAGAGTGGTATAACTGAGTCTGAAACGAGGACAATAAAATACTTTTTGAGCAGAATTTTAGATCTTATGAGAGGAACCATCCCTGTTTGATCTCTAACGATAGGTTTTTTCATCGCTTTGTAGTTCTGTTGTGATTGTAAGGTGTTCCTGACTGTAATGGTCACTTATTCTAAAAACGGTTTTGGCATTTCTATACAGTAACCACCTAGCTGTCTTCAGGTAAAACTCTCGAGATGGATGTGGATACCTTTTTGCAAGGATCACTAAAATTAAAGAGCCTGGTACCACAGCCTTAGCGCTTCTAGTGTCTCCAGTGTCTTCGTAGCTAGTGCAGTCCACCAAACAAGACTAGTGCGAGAGGGACAAATAGAGATTTTACTGGTGACCGCTTGAGTTTTTTTGTTCACTATCATTGCTAATGTCGTGGTACTGCATACATCACTAGAAATAGACGCAGATATGCTTGTTGAGATTGCGAGTAGCGCAGTGGTTAGGGGTGCCCTGCAATACACACCTGGTCTTTGCTTTGATCCCTCATCGCTTGCTCACCAATCCTTTTAGTCCTCCAGTTTCGGGAAAATGGAATTACACTTGTTTAACAGGATAACAGTACTGCCTTGATACATCGATAGGCCACAGTAAGTCAGTATAGGGGCCAAATATGCATTAAATCACCACTAACCGATGTATGGTAAAGCTGAATGCATGGCGCATCCTCAAGGAGATTGATCAACGCCGAGAATTTTATACTTTATCTTTTTTACGTTTTAAGTTCAACTTCTGTTTGAGGTTATTCTTTTTCAAGGCTGTGGGTGTTGCGCATGTTAAAAACTAACAATTATCGATGGAAATGAAGTTATATAGAACATTCTTCCACATCGAAATGCTGTTCTCGTCTTCAGAAATTCCCGCATTTGCGTGTGCTAGTCATCTTCACGTTCCCATTTCTTAGTTATTTCAGCAAGAGTCTGTTTTCAAAAGAGGATTTCCAATAATGTGCTATACTGCTCCTGATATGGTTGTTTAAATCATTTTTTCATAAACGGACCTTTCCAGGTGGACACTACTGTCCTTTTCTTACAACACTAAATGCTTCCGTTTTCCCTCAGAAGTTGCCAGAAAGGGTTTTCATAAGGTTAGGGTAAGCTTTGGGGTACGAAAATGGTCATACGGTTGTTTATAAGTTCCAGCTTACATTTATTTCCACCTATCACTTGAATTTTGTCGATTATCAACGTGGGTGTTATCTTGGCTAACTCACGACCTTTCATTTATCTCCGGCCTGTGTACCTTAAGCGTCGATTTTTCTACATATTGAACAAAGTGATGCCGTTCAACTTTATTGACGTAATTTTAGTGGAGGAATACGTTAGAGCAAATAGATCATGCAAGGAGGTAAGCGTTAAGCAAGGTAAAGGACAAAAGAAATGCTTCTGGCGCTGACCAATCCGTGAGAGAGGCACCGTGCATTCCACATTATGAAGCATCGTTAATGCTGAACGAGTGTAGATTTGGCCTGTATAGTAACTTGCGGTTGCCTGCCCATGTATCAAGTCAGTACTGCTGCATTTGCCGATCTTGTGAGGATGGAGGATTTAGTGAACCTGGAGTGTGGAATCAAACCAATGATCACGCGTATTTTGCAAGGAAACCTATTCACTGCCTTACACATGCACCTAGTAAGTAGGATTTTTCTTCTCAAGATAGCCTCCGTTTTTTGATATCAATCGATATTACCGGCATCCTAATGTCATGCAATCACTGACCGTACATTGTATGTCGCTTTTCTTTCGATCTAGATTTAAATAAGTACGGTATTTATTGCCATTTGTTCCTTAATTGTGTGTGAATTCGTTCACCATCATGGATTTCAACTGAATGCCTTTTCTTCCACATGTGTGGTTAAATTCATCTTCCTTTCTTTAGCTGGTGTTCGAGTGAATCAAAAATGAATATCTTCACTATCATATCTTTCTAAAGTTTCGCCGTAGGTTTTTAAGATACGTGTTAACGATGTTCCATCTACTGGTCTCTTATTATTGAAGACATCTCTTCACGTTAGTTATGATTAATGCTAGAATAGATTTACTGGAGAAAATCAGTATTGTTATCCTAGAAAATAGGGAGCTGTCTTCGGGTACTAAATGTCGATCTATGTTGCTTTTATCATTCCCTATATGAACTCATTAGTATTGAGCGGAGTTGTCGGTGAACAACACAAAGCATAACGACATATTATAATCGGTACAAATAACAATTACCCGTAATGAGGTCGGACTTTCGAAGTCTATCTCATATTTGAGACGAAGGAGAATACACCGT